AATGTCAAACACAAAAATAGAGATAATGGTATAATGAAACCCCCATGTCCTTGTCACCCCACTTCAGTAGTTATCAAGTCTTGGCACTATGACCAGCCCCTGGTTATTTTTAAGCAGAGCCCAAACATATAATTTCTTTTGTAAATATTTCATCAAATACTTATTTTTCAAAAATATATCTTTATTGATTTCAGAGAGAAGGGTGGGTAGAGAGAGAGAAACATCAGTGATGAGTAATTGATTGGCTGCCTCCTGCATGGCCCCTACTGAGGATTGGGTCCGCAGTCCAGGCATGTGCCCTGACCAGGAGTGAAACCTGTTTCCTGGATCATAGGTCAGTGCTCAACCTCTGAGCCATGACAGCTCAGCCATTACATATTTATACAAGAATGGTTCTCAAATTTCTTGATTCCAGGACCCAAAAGAGCTTCTGTTTATGAATTGTATTTATTGATATTTATCTTTTTAGATTTAAAACAAAGATTTAGCTTGGCCGGTGTGGCTCAGCGGTTGGGCATCGACCTATGATCCCGGAGATCAAGGTTTGATTCCCAGTCAGGGCTCATGCCTAGGTTGTGGGCTCGATCCCCAGAATCAAGGGGTGTGCAGGCGGCAGTGGATCAATGACTTTCTCATCATTGATGTGTCTCTCTCTCTTCCTCTCCCTTTCTCTCTCTGAAATCAATAAAGACATATTTTAAAAAACCAAAAAACAAAACCAGAAAGATATTAATTTATTAAAGTAACAGTACTAAAGCTATAACACAATATAAATAACATTTTAAATGAAAAATGTTTTCCAAATAAATGTAGTGATAAGTGACTGACATTGGTTTACCTTTTTGCAAATCTTTTTTCTTCTTCTTGTTAATCCTCACCCAAGGATATTTTTTCTATTGATCTTCGGAGAGAGTGGAAGCTGGGCTGGGGGGTAGGGGGTGGGGTGTAGAGAGAAGAGGAGAGAGGAGGAGAAACATTGATTGGTTGCTTCCCAAATATGCCCAGACCGGGCGGGGGATCGAACCTGCTACCCAGGTATATGCCTAAGGGAATCAATCGATCCTGAGACCCTTCAGTGGCATGGGCTGACACTAACCACTGAGCACACCGGCCAGGGTACAAATCTTTTTAATGAGCTGATTTACTAGAAGACAACTTCTGCATTCATTCCATTGTAGTATTTTATTCTTCACATTTAAGTATATGAGGAAAATCTGACCACATGTAGATATGTGGTTGGAAAAGGGAGGAATATTTGTTTATTTAATTGTCACCCAAGGGCATGTTTTTTATTGATTTTAGAGAGGAAGGGGGGGAGAGGAGAGAAAAATTGATGTGAGAAACATCTATTTGTTGCCTTCCTGTGCACCCTGATGGGAATGAACCTGAAACCTAGGTGTGCGCCCTGACTGGGAATCAAATCCACAACCTTTTGGTGTATGGGATGACACTTCAGCCAACTAAGCCACTCGGCCAGAGCATGGAGGAATATTTTAATAAACTATTCAGGTGACTGTGGATATTTTTTTGAATGCTACACCAAAATGACAAGTTGTAGTTTCTTAGAAGTTTAGCTATAATGAAGAATCTGAAACCACCTCATCTGTGTAAATGAATTTTTATATTATGTTAAAATTCATTGGCCTGTTTTGCACTTTGAGTGTATCTTTTACACATGTGTAATTTTGTAGCATCATAATTGGTCATTTGGAAAATATTGGTTCACTGAGTTATGCAGATTTTTAAATGATGACATATTTCATTTTCCTCCCAAAAATTCACATTTGTGAATATCACCACTGATGTCATCAGAAAAGTCTAAGTATTGGGAAGCTATCAAGCCCATAGTGTTGGATAGAGGTTTTCTCAATTTCTAAGTTTTGATCAACAACTCAAATTTATAATAATTTTCAACAAATATTTAAAGTTGTTTTCTTTGAAGTGAAAGGCGCACTTTGTTCCTTTTTAGAAAAAGTCTGCCAAATATCTAAGTCTGAATTAACATAATTGGTGCTGATGTTGGTGGATTAACATGATTGAGGTCAGCTATTTGTTCAGGTAAAAAAGATATTCCAATGTCAAAGTGACTAGTTCAGAATCAGGCAAGTGCTTTTCTTCAAGCCCATCATACTCAGTATACAACAGAAGTACTTTATGAGAACTTCCCATTTTGTCATAGAATATTAAAAAGATGTGTATTCAAGGGTTAGGGTTTCATAAAATGAATCATTTTAACTGTTTCATTACCAACATTCTTTTTTTTTTTAAAGTATTACAGATGTCCCTTTTTCTCCCCAATGCCCCTTTCCACCCTGTCCCATCCCCCTCCTCAGTCCCTCACCCCACCATTGTCTGTGTCCTTAGGTTGTGCATATATGCTATAGTATGTTTACTGATTTCAGAGAGAGGAAGGGAGAGAGAGAGAGA